GAGAGAGAGAGTGAGAGTGTGTGTGTGTGTTTGTGTGTGTGTGTGTGTGTGTGTGTGTGTGACCTAGCATTACTATCCTTGTGGGGCCTAAATCTGTTTACACAGTCATGTGTGGGGACTCGCCTCCCCATGAGGGGAATCATTCATTTTAGGGTGAAGACTTGGTTAAGGTTAGGTCAGAATAAGGGTTAGGGTTAGGCATGTGTCGGTTATGGTTAAGGTTAGGATAAGTCTCCAGGAAATGCATGCAAGTCAATATAATATCCCCTGAAGGGATGTATGGAGGAGAGAAGCTGAGGGTCTGGAGGATGGAGTCACTTGAAGGGCTGCCAGCTGCCAGCGTCCTGTAGAGAGAACCTGCTGACGGCAGGAAGATCCTCGCAGCTGGGTCAAAGTCTTCTCCACATGCTTGGGCTGGAGGAAACAGTGTGGTGTGGAAACAGCTCTTTAGCCCCCACCCAGTATTTGAACACAGAGAGATAATTGGCTGGGGGTGGATGTGGTTGGGTTTTCTTAGCTCTCAGCTAAGTTTTCTGGAGGTCATGGGTCAAGACTAAAAATAAGGAAACCTATTCAATAACACATATTTAATAATAATTAGATATAGGGTATTAATAAGGGAGTTATGGTAGGAAATAGCTCATATCACCTCCACCATGACAATATATCTTACTGATCCCAGAGTGACACGTGTAACTGGCCCGGTCAGCAGCACTGCTGCCTGCTTTTTTGATTGAACATCTTTTAATGCTGAAATGCACAGATGTGTGGCACAACAAGTTATGCATATAATGGCAATACGTATTTCTTTTCAAAATGTTTTATATCATTAAATAAAAGGGGAATCAGCAACCATTAAGTATCACTTTCCTTATTTATTTTTCTTTCAAACGAAAGTAATACATTGTTGTTCAGGTTTATAAAGAGTGCATAAAACTGGGAACGCACAGGGTTGTGCTTTTATTCCATCTAAAGCAGATGCGGGTAGATCATAAGTGCAGTCTCTTTCCCGACTGCTGGTCAATTCTCTTCTGCCCTTAACCTCATGACGATTCTCACTGAGGTTAAGGAAAACACATGTTTTTTTTGACAATTTATCTGTAATCTTGCCTGCCTGATCAGTGGCAGCAACATGTTATCAAAGCTAACAGCACCATCTGCTGGTTATCATAGCACAGTACCAGGGCTAAAAGCAGAGTTGAATGCGGGGCACAGAGGAAAGAGGCTCATGTCTTTAGAGTGTTGTATTATGGCTGGTATGGCCTTGAAGTAGCCTGGATTTCGACCGTCAGCCTGCAGTGTTCTGCTAGAGCTGGTCTTATATCAGACCATTTATTTGTCAGAAGTATGCTCCACCAAATAAGTCTTGTCTATAGTCTACTCCCATCCTGCACTCTTTTACAGTTGACTACAGTGGAAGCTGGTTTGGTATCATTTTGACATTGCTGGCAGGTCAAGTATGTTTTACATGACATTACAATGTTGCTTTTTTCTTTTTTTTTTAAACTTCATTTTACAGTTTCTGAATTTTAGTAGCTGAAAATGATTGGCTGGCAGAAAAGCCGAGCGAATAATAATTGTTTCTTTGAAGCTGCATGATTTACAACCTGCATTACTTTTTTTGTATTATTACTGATCGATGGAGTGATTATGTGAACATTACATTACTTCGCATCAGTCAGCTGACACTTTAGTCCAAAGCGACCAACCAAAAGAGCAATGAACCATGAAGAGACTGCCTGTACACCAGCTCACTGAGCCAGGCTCTCAGGCTGCCATGGAACTCTCTCTGCTATCCAAAGGGGAGCTCATTGCACCTGATTGGAGCAGGAGAGCAAACAGGAGGTTTTAGTTGAGGGTAGCTGAGTCCCATTCGGAGTGTGAGCGGAGTGGATGATGCACAGTGAAGTGCACGTGCAATGTCATTGGCTCATAGCAATATCATTTTATTTTCGGCCCAAGTGAGTCGTTTCTTTCACTCATTCAAAACTTTATTTTATACAAAAAACTCAGATGTAAAGATGTAAGTACATTTTTATTTTAGTGATTTATTTATTATTTCTGGAATGCCATTTAGACAAATGACTATTACAAATCTATGTTTAATAGTCATTAAACTATGACTATTAAAAATCATAAATAATCACGAATAAAAGACTTATACATTCAATACAATAAGTGTTATAAGGAAGAGACCCTATTCTTCATTTGGTGGTGTCCCCTCTCCTGTAGTGTGCTCTATACGTTTGTGTGCATGTAAATGGTTTGCAAAGGCTACAATCCCTGTGTTCCCTCTCTCCCAGTTAGATTTTGAATGGAGGACTTGTAATTAAGTATTTTGAATAAATTAAATATTGGTACTTTACTCAAGTAAAGAATCTGAATACTTCTTCCTCCGCTGACAATTTGCCACAGATGATGAGCTTTTATTGAAGGTGATGCTTGTCTCTTGTTGCAGTGTGCAGCAGTCTGACAGAAAAGTATTAAAAAGAAAGACATGTGGGGATGATGGAGGTCCACAGCACAAATGTGAGGACACCTTAAGGACACTGGAAAGCTACGAGGATGCAGCAACTTTGCACACGATGAACTGTATGCAGGTCTTAAGTGGAAATTAGTGACAAATACTCAAGATTAAAAAGCCTGGAGTCATTGATGAGTTGTCCCAAACCTTTTATTAAAGCAACAGATCAGTTACAGAAAACTGACAATCCATCATTACTTCATAATAATTTATTCACTGTCATCAGTGTGTACAGAACATGTGCTGAGACAGTGAGGCGAAGAGGGGCAGTTTAACCAGCAGCAGCCTGTCTACTGTCTACCTGTGGTGGAGCTTCAACACTGTCTGGGAGCAGCGCTGTCATCACAAGCCTTCCCTGCTGATCTCACATGATCACCCTCTTTCACCAGGTTGCTGTAGTGTGGATTTTGTTTTTGTTATTGAAGTAGCACAGCTCCTTTAACCCGTCACAAAATAGCGTATGGCTTTACAAAAAGCTTTTAAAGCATTTTCAGAAAAAAACTTTTTTTTATTTTATTTCTCCATGTCCTTTTAAAAAAATGTTCCTTTTAAAAATCTAGAAGCTCTCTCTTGGTAAAGATTGTAATCTTTAATGTTAAAAAGGTTTTACAGTTCACATTGACTTACAAAGTGTCAGGAAGTAGAAAAGACCAGCTAGTGGGCAAGACATTCTACAAAAAACACTTCTGCACACCAGACAAACAATCTGGTGTCACGAGTCAGGAGCACAAATAACGTGGGAAGGCGACACCCTGATAGGAGAACAAAATATAAGAAGTATGTTTTACCCGGCGTATCTTTTTCACAGAAGTGTTTACATTTTTTTACTGTAAATGTTGATCTACATATTGTTTATTGTCAGTATCACTACAGAAATGTGTTTTGTTTCCACAGTGCTGCACCCATTGTTAGTGTCCAGATCATACCTGCTGTGATATAACAGGAGCTTTACCTGCAGACAGACCCCTCCCTGAGGACAGTAAGGTGCCAACACTCAAGCAGCTTCAAAACACTTCTGCTATACGATGATGCAAGAGGAAGTTTTGATCTGTGATCTTCTACTACCATGGATCAATGAAACAAATTCTGACCTCACAAAGGAAAGGACAACAGGGATTAAAGAAAGTTTCCCTTTGAGCTGAACACCAGCCACTGAGGATGAAAACAAAGGGCTGGGTCATTAACCGTCAGCTGGGGTTGGCTGACAGGAACATGACGTCTGATCCATGTAACCCTGTGTGAGCTGTAGGGCCTTCACACAGGAGGCCAGATCACACAGGGTTACCCGTTTCATGTCACGCTCCTGTACATCCGTGGACACATCCATTCTTAACATCACAGTTTAAACCTAAATAGCTCAATATTAATTAGAAAGTATTCAAACAGATTATCTTTTAGTCTAGTTAGATGGTCTTGGTACTCATATCTGGAAATAAGAAAAAAGAAATAGCTAGGATTCGACAGAACTCAGACACACAGAGAGGTAAAGGGAGATGTACAACCCACCAGAAGAAAAAGTTTACAGCTCTCAAAAACGACTTCATGACACGAACGGCTCACACAAAGGTCTGACTAGTAAAAGAGACTTGCCAACACACAAGGACATGCTCACACACACACACACACACACACTAACACACACGCTCTCTTCACATGCTAGCACACGGCTCATCCTGGATTCAACACATACTGAGTGGTAAATAAACGGCTGGGGGGAGGGGGGGACAGACACCACCACAGCTTTGCATAGAAACACTGAGCAGTACTAAACACAGCTGAGTGGAATGTTCTCTGATCAGCACTGCAACAGAGGAAGCTGCAGCGTTCAGAACCAGAGGAGAGATTCACATTTGACCCTGCTATGTCAAACAGCTGACTGCGGAGAGCTCGCTCAGTCTGACTGCTAAACACCGGCTCAGCTGCAGCCTCAGTTACTGGGCAACAGAATTCCGATGCAGGAAGCCAGACTACATCACTGAGACTTCAAAATAAAGTTCCCGCTCTACAGATTGGACTCTGCAGACTTCAGATGGAGCTGAGTTCACACTGAACTGAACCCCCCCTGACAACAAAGAAATGGACTATCTACTGAAAGAAAAACAAATGTTGATTCAAAAGAAAAGAAGGGTAAATCAGGAGTACCAGATCAGGGAACAATTCATAGATCATCACAAATGAACAGCAAAAGGAAAGTTTATGGAAGGTGTGAAAACATAGGGATGGGGAGAGTGTTGTCATGACCACTCAATTGTTTCTCTGGAGGTGGCGAGGTGCATCATCGCACTCAGACGGTGCTGACGCAAGGTCAGTGGGTCCCTTCTCCGTCACCACGACGACCACGGCAGGCTCTACGTTTCTATGGAGAGCACAAACAGGAAGTTGAGTCTACTGATGCAACCAGGGTTCATACAGCTTACATAGAATAATATTTAATACCAACTTTAGAATAACCACAATAAAAAGAAAGAAAACATTGTCGGTTGAGGCTCATTGAAAATTAAAACATTCTTGTTAGCATCCACAACCAGCTGATCTCAGATGTATCAACTAGAGGATGTAGGTTGTTTTGACAATACTGCAGGGCCATCCAAAGTGAGAGCTGTGTGCGGGACTGGGAAGTAAGACACACTAGTTTCAGGTGAGGCTTGGCCTCCGCCAGGGCTCCATTTGTCACCAATCCTGTTTGTGATATTCGTGGACAGGATCTCTAGGCATAGTCGGGGAGCCCGGGGGGTTGCTTTTGATGATGTGCTTCTGATGGCTTCATCGGACTGCGACCTTCAGAGAGGCCAAGGGTCTCAGCAGGAAACCAACTGACTGTCTACTCCACGTAGGGAATGGTGTCCTTACCCTAAGTGAATGAGTCCTTAATGAGTTCAAGTTATTGGGATCTTTTTCTTGAGTAAGGGGTGCTGGAGCATTGAATGGGCTGGAGAACCCGAGCAGCGCGAGCTCTACTACACCGCTATGATGAAGAGAGAGCTGAGACGGAGAAGTTGGGGGCCCTCTGCTGGAACTACTAACCTCCGCAACCCGACTTTGGGTAAGCCAATGAAGATGGATTGATGGATACCAGTAATTGTGATGTTTATTCATATATACCAAACATTCTCTCCTTTCAGCTTCCTAAGGTATATATATATATGTGTGTCCTGTTCACTCAGCAGTGGCGGACACATACAATAGCAATCCTCCCGATGAGCATGAATGTGAATAAAAACAATGTTTACCGATGGGCTCATCCTGGATCTGTTCCTCTGTCTCAAACACAGCTGCTGCAGAAAGAGACAAAGATGCACAAGTAAATCCACGAGATCTTAAACATATTGTAATGTTATCCCCTCACAAAGCCTGTGGCCCCATTTATGCACAGTGCATCCATTCTACGGTTGGAAGGCGTGTGCGATTGTGCCCACCTTCTTCTGCTGCTGCTGCTGCTGCTGCTGCTGCTGCTGCTGCTGCTGCTGCTGCTGCTTCCTCCTCCTCTACTTCCTGTGCTTCTTCTTCTGCCTCTGAAGGTGGAACAAAGACATTTGAAACCATTAACCAAGTTTTTGCTACGAGGCGTCTTGCTAACAGCCGCCACACACTGTGCTCAGTAAGAGATCTCTTGGACCTATGCAGTGTATTAAACAAAGATAATAATGTACACTGGCATACTTCCACACAATTCAGTATGGACCAAAATCCATAGATTTCACTGAGCCTCAAAATGTCAAACAGATGATTCTTCTTTTAGATCATCATTATATATAAGAGATACATCCCTTACTGGGGATGAGGGGAGAGGGGGACGGTAAGTGTCATCTCAAGGAGGTCACCATTTAACTGGCTAAACGTAGTCTGCCACAGCCTCTTAAAGCACTGAAGCACTTTGGTATAGAATGATCTATCTAATGTCTTTACTGGTCTGAGGAGTTCCCCTCTAATCTAACGATCTAACACTCACCTAACTGTAAGGGCGTCAGTCACTGGAGTTCTTGACTGTATGAAATACTCCTGCTTTACCTGGCTCTGTTTGCTCCTCTTCTACTTCTTCTGGAGCTGCCTCTGTGTCGGCCTCCTCTTCCTCCGCCTCTTCTTCTGAAGGGGCTGCGTCCTCTTCCTCCACAGCTTCTTCTGAGGGGGCTGCCTCCTCTTCCTCTTCTTCCACAACTTCTTCTGATGGTGCTGCCTCCTCTTCAACAGCTTCTTCTAGAGGTGCTGCCTCCTCTTCCTCAGTAGGTGCTGCCTCCTCTTCCTCTGTAGGTGCTGCCTCCTCTTCCTCTGTAGGTGCTGCCTCCTCTTCTTCTGTAGGTGCTGCCTCCTCTTCCTCTGTAGGTGCTGCCTCCTCTTCCTTGGCTAAATCCTCAACAGCTTCTTCTGCAGACTCCTCTAAAGGTGCTGCATCTTCCTCAGCGGGCTCTTCAGCAGCTTCATCTTCTTCAGCAGCTTCATATTCTTCAGCAGGCTCCTCAACAGCTTCCTCTTCAACTTCTGATGCCACCTGTTCAGCAGCAGCCTCTTCCTCGGTGTCTTCAAATGCAGCCTCCACCTCTGCCACAGGTTCCTCCACAGCCTCTTCAACGGCCTCCTCCTCCTCCTCCTCCTCCTCCCGAGCTGGTTCTGTTTCAGTTTCCTCTTCAGCGGCTGCCTCCTCTTCTTGCTGGTCTGCCATCATCTCTTCCACCTCCTCCACCAGTTCAGCCTGGATCAAGAAATAATGTCAAAGAATGTTTATTTAAGCTGTTAGAAAAACATCAGCATATATCTGTCAATCAGGGATGGAACGCAAATGATCATAGCTACAGACCCCAGGGGCCTCCTCCACAGGGGCCTCCTCTTCCACAGCAGGAAGCTCCTCCTCTAGCACCTCTGGATCTTCCTCAATAACCTGAAAACATAATCATCCCCCGAATGCCATTAACAGGTTTACTTTAGTGACCAGACTACATAGAACTGATTACCTGAAGGGCCTCACTAATCACTGCACGTTTTATAAAATAAGACTTGGCCTGTACCAACCTCCTCAGCCTCGGGTTCCGGTTCAGCCTCTGGTTCAGGATCCGCCTCAGGTTCAGGATCCGCCTCGGGTTCAGGTTCCACCTCGGGTGCTTCCTCTGGTTCAGGCTCTGGAGGAGGATAAGAGAGTAGGAGAGATTTACACACGTCACAGTTCAAGCCCAGCCTTCATTCTGAAGTCCATTTGAGACATCTTCAGTTTGTGAAAAAGACACAAAAAGATGGTAGAAATGTTTCTCACTGCCTAATGCTTCCTTCCACACCTGGATCTAAAACTCAAATGATTATAGAGTTCTCAAAGACGACACTTCATGCATACGATACCAAAAAAAGAGAACAGAATATTCCATCTATTCTCTTGTGAAAACACACATATTGAACCAGAAATCTGTTCTCTGCTTTTTTTAACTGCCTGAATTGAGGGATGATTTTCTAACTCTTGTCACATGCAAACATTAGCGCCCATTCACACTGAGGTACCTGCTGGAGGTGCAGAGGTGTCCTTAGCGGCAGCAGCTTCAACTACATCCACAGGCTCAGGCTCAAAAACAGCTGTGGAGAGGGGGCGGATATGTTACGTTATGTCCGATCAAACTCAACGCTCAAGAGTGGGCCTTTATTGGCCACATGTCACTGAATGGAAATGACAATACATTTAATAACATGGGAGATGTTTCAGATTATCAATAATCGATATACAACAAGGGAAGCTTTAACAGCCAACATCTCAGTAGAACTGTAAACATGTCATCTAACAGCAACCCAAGACACAACCCACCGGGACGTCATTTAACTTCTTCTCCACCCTACATTTCCAGTGCACAGCATTTGTGGTGGTATCCATATGTGTTCAGTGTTAGCGATAACAGATACTGATGAGCCAGCCATGCTGTTGAAACCTGTAACCATGCAACACCTGTTACCATGTCCTATCAACATTTTCCTGTGAGGAACATCAAGTATAAAGAACATGTGAGGTACCTGGTGGGGCGGATTCAGCTTCCGGAATCTTCACTGGGGCGGCAGCTTCTTCGCTACGGGAGGTTATCACCACAGCCTTCTCTTTCAGCCCTACATGAGATCAATAGATTATGTTTATTTATAAAGCCCAATATCACAAATGTTAAATTTGTCTCAGTGGACTTCACAGTTTGTACAGAATATCAGTATGACAATACGACACCGTCTGTCCTTAGACCCTCACATCGTACAAGGAAAAACTTCCAGAGAAAACCCACAGTTTAAAGGGAAACATGGGAGAAACCTCAGGGAGAGCAACAGAGGAGGGATCCCTCTCCCAGGACGGACAGACGTGCAATAGATGCCGTGTGTAAATTCAAAAGATAATACATTTACAACATAGGTAGACCACATTTTTGGAAAGACCAAATGTTTGGAAATGCATGTGTCTATAATAAGAAAATGACTCCACGAGGATGTCAACAACCCTGTGGGAGCCATCAGGGAAGTAGTATGATGAGTCAGGCAGGACAGCAGAGACTGGTTCAGAGATGAATGCACAAGTTGCTGCCACAATATACATGTACATTATAGACACAGGATACATAGCCATAGCAGAGTCTTTGGTCCTACTGAAAACATATCAGATCATATTAATTAATTATAGGGATGCACCGATACATCGGCCAGACATCGGTATCGGCCGATGTTCGATCTATTTCCTGCCATCGGCAAATGAGATGACATTCACAGATGGCAGTCGATTATGGTTTTGTTATTTTCTTGCGCGTTCCGTCATAACATCTGCGGCACCCGTAGTTCGTTTATATATAACAAATAAAAATAAAAAACATGTCAGCAGTGGGGGACTATTTCACCCAGAGATCCGCGATTTGCAGTTTGCAAAAAGTGTTCCGTTGACACGGCCCGGGTATAATAAACGGGGCCCGCTCTTTTCCTCTCTCCCGACAGCTCGTCAGTATCGTCTCATGCAGCTGGCTGATCCAGTAATGAGTGATCCGACAGTAAAGAATAAATATATTCATAACTAGTGTAGGTAGATTCAGAGGTAGATAAAATAGCTAAGTGTGATAGGTCTAACTCTAAAGGTGTGTTTTGCTCCACTCACCGGTCCCCTCACAGCGGGCAGAGCTGCAGGTCATCCACTGCATACTTTCTAAACAGCGTACTATGATGTTATAATAACGAACTTGCTCAGCCTTTGAAACTGAAACCATTTTGCGAGAATTTGTTTTTCCTGGCAGAAAGTGGAATAACAGTCGAAAAATTTACATTAAAACATCGGTATTGGCCAAATTGTTATTCTTAACATCGGCCAAGAAATGTAGCATCGGTGCATCCCCAATTAATTATTCATTCAAATATGCCACATGTATGATAGTGATACACACTTATGAAGAAGAAACTAAATAGTGGGACATGTGGTGTATCAGAGAGGAACTTGTACAGGACCTTGGAAGAACCTTCGGAATCTTCTCAACAGGACATTGGGTTCCTTTAGCTGACAGAATCGAGTTTGATCAGATATTTCATGAACTCAGTAGTTATTATAATAGGCTTAGGCTCAACGTTTGTGTCACATTCCAACAATTATTTTGATTGCCTAAACTGGCTGTTGGAATTAGGTCATGCGGGTCCAGTTTCCCAACATGCACTCCAGCGATTCCACAGACAGAAGATTGGAGCTCACATTAGAAAGGAAGCACTTGCAGGGTTCAGAAAACTTTATTGACAAAATAAAATAAAACATAATTGGTTATGAACACAAATCCCCCTACATTTAGAAAAGCTCAAAATGTAAACATTAGAACTACATATACTGAAAAAAAAAGTTTAGTGCTTGTTTTTGCATTATGCAGTTTCTATCCCATCCCATTTGTTTTTGCTAACCCTTTAACAAAAAGTACAGACCAAAACAAATAAAAAATAAAACTATTACTTGTTATTCCCAAATAATTCCCCAAACGTGTAGCAACTGTGCCAGCTCACTACAGCCTATTTATTTTTTGTTGAAGGTTATTGCAGTCCCTTAAAAGTCACTCCCGCTAGTCTATTGACCAACACAAGCCTTTTTAGCTAGAAAATTCCTTTGTTTAACCTTTTAAACAAAGGATCTTATACACAGCTCTGGTATCATTTGAAATATGTATAGTGCCAATAACAGTGTTTCGACCACCATATCATCTCTCTTCATTTCTGGCCTTTCTGGCAGATTTGCTCCCCTTTCGTTTGTCTTTGGCATTCTCTTTCCCTCTCAACTTGTCTTCGTCCTGTGCCTTCTTTACCTCCCCCTCCCTATTACTCTCTGATTTCTCCTCTTTCTCCTCCTTGATTTCCTCATCCACTTGTTTTGCTTTTTCCTTCCTTAGTTTCTCCAGAGCCTTCTTCATCTCTTCTTTCTCCATATTCTCCTCTTCCTCTTGCAGTCTCGTTGCAACTCGTTCCTTCACTCTGGCTCTTATTTCATCTCTCTCTAGCTCCAGCTTCTCCTCCTCCTCCTCCTCTTTGGCCAGGAGCTGTCTGACCTCAGCCAGAACCAGCTTGGCAATCTTCTTGGCCTCCACACGTTCGTGGATGATGGTCAGCTGCTGCTTCAGAGCCTCACGAAGCTTCCTGCCCACATCCTTAGTTGGATAGGATTCTGGGAATGGATGGGCAACAAATTGTTGGATGTTGACCACTTCCAGACTGACCAAGACCATGCTCAAATTCACTCAGTTATTGGAAAACAGGTATGTGCAGAACCAGAAATCGGTTCATTCCATACTGTTGCGTTCACCTCTAAGCAGTGAGTAGACTTCTACATCACACTGGCATGTTACTCAGTTTAAAACGGATGCAAAATCGGATTTACACCAGTTTGTTAAAAATATGACCAACATTAGTGTACTGAAGAGAAACCCATGTTTACCCTATAGTGGTGTTCTAATCAGACATTTTTAAGTCAATCATCACTTGAGAAATCGGGTTAATAACTCCATGATTATTAACATGCTTTGTGAGAGGTTGGATCTTATTCCATTAGTGTGGCCCAGTGTAAGAGCACATGCTGCAGGAGGATACCTCTCTCTGATCGTGCCCCGGCTCCTCCAGCTTTCTCATCTGATGTTGCAAACAAACAAAAAGTTACAACACTGGGATAGTTTCCAGGTTATACCTTTGTAGCGGTCACACTGTTTGTAGAGATGAGTCCATTAACACAAGTCGCCACCAGTTGCATAATAAAGCATATCTCAGGCTCGAGCTGAAGCAAACCACACTGATTCTGTCGCAGAAGCCACTGTTGTTATGTCGTCTTAACTTGGCCATACATCAAGGAGAAACTCAACCTCAGCTGTGCAGAATCTGACGACCGCATGGTATAGTCCTTTTTCATAGGATGCCTCAGTTCTATCATAAAGCAGTCATGGCAATTACCAGGAACAAGAATTGTGTTAATATGAACTATGGTTCACATCAAAAGGACAGTCAGCAGCTCACCTGAGCCTCGAGACGATGCTCTCACTGTCAGTTAAAGAAAAGTACATCTGCTGTTTCTGTGCCATGAAGGAGTTCATGTTGTTTTCATCATCCTTATAAATACTTTATTTAGAGGTGGTTATTTTGATTTCTTTATTTAAAAAAAGGAATGGGTTAGGGTCCTGTTAGAGTGGATATGGAATTGTGTTTGTCACTCATCTTCCGGTGTTTGTTTTTGTGCATCAATAACATCATGTAGATGATTCTTTAGAAAAGCTGTAGCTTGAATCCAGAGCAGGAAGAACCTGTTTCTTAATCAGGTTTCTTCCATGCATTCAACAGCCATCAAGTTCATTACACACACACCCTGTGTCGTAATAGAGTGAAGCTTAATACATCAAACATGCCTCTGCATCACCTGCCCGTTCTCTCATTGTTCACACAGAACAGAAACAAACTGGAGGGGTACCAATAGAACATTAGTGTATTCTACTTGTGCACAGCCACAAACTGAACTAAACAAACAAGTTGGCTTCATGACTGATAACTATTGTAGGAGTAAGACATGTGCATTATATGTAAAAAGGAAGAATGGAACCAAGGGATCTAAATCAAATCAGCATTGTAGTCACAGGGGAGGCAGGAGAGAAACAAGAGAAGGTACGTTTTAGGCATATGTTAGGCAGCGTGGGAATTAAGACATAGTAAGAAAAGCACATGAAATTAAAAACATGGCTTGGTTCCATTTTGTGGAATGCAGAATGGCCCTAAAATGTAATCACTTTTGCTTTTTAAAATTCTATGGCATGCCAATGTCTGCCATTTAAAAAAATAAGTTATATATGCTGTTATCTAGCATAAGACAAATAATATGAAGCTTGACTATTACAAAAAAACATTTCGCCATTTATGAGTCCAAGGCCCCCTATTTCCCTCCTGGAATAAGCCTGCATACTCAACCTTAACTTTTAAAATAGATTGTATCAATTACTTTTGGCAGAGAACCATCACTATAAACACTAGTCCACCTCGAGATGTTGGCAGGTGGTCAGCTTTATAAATCGAATTTGTTCTCATCCAGACATCCGAGGAAAGGCTGAGGATGTGTTCATTGCATGCAGCAATAGGAGAACGGGACAGTGGAGCAGCTGTCCAAGTGGAAATTGCATTCAATGTTTTTAATAGTTTCAACTAATTTGTGCCAAATTAATATATATGTTCTAAAAAAAAAGTGTTCCTGAGTATCGTGTCCATATCCCAGCACAGGGTTCAACACTCCTTTAAAAAAGGGCATTCACTCTCTCAAGATTCTGCTGATACAAGAATGCAGCTCGTTTGTCAAATTTGAAAATATCTTTTTTTTTTTTTTTAAACCTTGTATTGGTTGAGCTTATAACACAATGTTGGATTGGACATTCATATCTAAAGAGACTAGATTAGTCAAGTTTCCAAAACTCTAAAGTCAGCAGAAAAATGATTTTGTCGATGTCTTGGGCTGTTGGCACCCTGCAGTTGGAAATTGCATTAGAGGATAAACGGGCTGCTGCAGTTGAGTAGAGGCTATTGGTTATGTAGGCCGACTATGACAATCTTCTGGCCCTGATATCCATTATCATTTGCTCCTCTTTTTCTGACCCCCCGGTCATCTTCAACCTCCTCGTCGTCCTCCTGTGCCTTGTAGAGTCCTCCTGAGGCACGGTACTCCTCCTGCTCCTCCTCCTCCTCCTCCTCCTCCAGGTGTTCCAGGGGGTTTATCAGACCGTACAGGAAAGTGAAGAAACTGTTTAACCAATCAGAGCCGCCCTCTTCCACTTCTTCTAACCAATCCAGAACCTCCGATTCCCCCTGACCATCGCCCTCACTGGTTAGGCCTACGCAAACAAGAGGGGAGGTGGGGGGGGGGGGGGGGGGGGGCATGTGTGGATGGAGGGTAGAGTTTGTGGGCACAACGTTTGGAAGTGAGATGGAAAGGAAGTGGAATAAACTTGACCAACAGAACAACTAGAACAAAATAAAAATGGCAGGAAAATATATGGGGGAAAAGACATGTGATGATATAATGTCAGAGGGTTTAGAGCAGAGGGGAGGTGGAAAAGAAACAAGAGGAGAAGGTAAGAGAAGTTTTAGGCGTATGTTAGGCAGCGAGGGAACTAACAAGGCATTATCATAAGCAGCTGGGTCTGGCTGACTACACATCACTGGTCAATCAAATTAATTGACAAACTGACTGAATGTACTCCTATAAATATGGAAATTCAGCTCACACTCTTTATCATGTGGAGACAGCCTAAAAATCCTAGATGGGTTAACTTTAGCTAAAAATGTACTTTTACTGTACAGCCACATTGGTACCAGCGATTGCCATAAGTGTGTGTTATTACACAGATTTCCTATGGTTCTATCCAAAAAAAAAATTAAATCTATGGAGGGACGGACTCATACACAAGACAAAGAAGAGGAAACAAAAGGTTTCAAAATAAATGTGAAAAAAGGAAAATATATGTATTGGAGCATGCATATTAATGCCATGAAGCAAACTGTGAGATTGAAGTGTTTGCAAATTGTTAGAGCTTATTAGTGTTGGGGTGGTATGGATGATGGATTGCTGGAGGGATAGAAAGGCTGGAAATGGGTGGGGCTTAAGTTCCACCTTTTGCCTAGAATGAGAATAACTGACAAAACAGAGCAAAAGCTGGAATGCAAGTACCTCCGAAAGGGAAGATTCAAGCAAAGATTACTGCGGGTAATGATAGCATTCTAAATGTTTTCTTTAAGAGCCAAATAGTTAGTTTTTTGAATATTGCAAAACAAGCAAAGTGTTGTCTGTACATTCAAATATAGCCTAGTACACGTGTGAGATGTAAAGATTGAGACAAAAACAAACTGATTCTCATGCCTGAATAGAGAGCAGTATACTAGGCACAACATATTCATATTAAATAGTGGTACAAAAATATGAATGTTTTATATTCTATGCAGTTCAACATGTTGACTCTTCTATTGGAATGAGCTCATTTGCATACAGCTCTGGTCCAACATGTTAAGCTAGTGTACAGCATTCAGTATGTTGGAGAGTCATGTCAACTGAACACAGAAATGTGTCATGCAGCAGGCATCACGAGGGGAATCACAGTACCCAGGACACACTGAAACCTACACTTTATCATCTTCTCCTAGTTGTCTTCAATGTGTCGAATTATATACAATGAAAATTAGCCAGAGGAACTCATTAGGTACATGTGAGAAAACTGTTAGCCATAAACTCCTCAGGTGGCCTTAATTGACCTTTCGTTAAAAAGGGGAGAGGAGCACCTGCCTTCTTGTTGTGACCTAAGCTTTAAGAATCTTACACCAATTCAGACTTTAATACTCTTTTTAATTAGAGACATTCAAAGTGGGTTAATTAAGATAACAAAGCAGTTACAGAAACACGCAACCCTGCACAGAGGTAGGAAGGATTGAGGAGTTGGCTTTTCATTGATGAGATTTTCTCTATGATACCTGCCAGCTTTTTAATAGTCAGTCATGCTAGACAAACCGAAATCGCTGTTAAATGTAATTAAGGAACATGAGATCATGTGGCCAGCAATGCTCAAGCAAGTATGTTCCACTTGCATGATGACTGGGGGTCATGCACCTCGTCCCCATAATGCCGTGAGAAGCTCCAGATGTTTGGCACTGGAGACAGAGATTCCACTAATGCAAAGCACTGATCGTAAACACCAACATTAGTTGTAAATTAGAGATGAATCAACTTGCCTAGCAGAACTTTAGCATCCTCGACATCAAAATCACCATCGCCATCTGTATCGTATGCGACCAGTTTACCTACAGCAGTAACAAACACATTTAGACTTGCAGTTTGAAAAATCAAGACAAATAGCTTTACTATACATTGACATGCACCATTCCACACAGACAGACACTCAAAGACATGCACCAAGCTTATCTTAACTCTAGCATAAATCATTAAACCACATTCATAGTGGCCGTGCTCTTTGTTTAAATGGGTATATCAGCAAAGGTTACAACCAGCTTGGTGAATGTCTTTAAATGTGAGGGGGATCAAGATATAGTGATAGAGGGTACTAAAACAGAGGCAACAGAAAGGGGGTTCATGCTAGACATGTCTTAGAGTAATCAGAAAGCAATATGACACTGTTGGATATAAATAGTGTGTTATAGAGTGGTGCAGGGATGACGTATTTACTCGGAAGGAAGCTGCTGGCTCCCTCGACAAAAAAGCAATAGGATTTCTCCATAGGATTTTGGAAAATAGCTGGAAATAACGTCTGTGGAAAACGAACCTGTTTGACAAATGCACGTTTTGTTCAGCCGGATAATATCCACATGTCTACAATACTTTTATAATTTTCGAATCATAAATCTAAAAGCCAGAAGCAAAATGCTAACGTTATGCTATAAACGAACTACAGCAGGGTCGCACGACTTCAACGTCACGTCAACTTAAGATCCATATTCAACCATACACATTCTAAATGGTACAAGTTGAAGCGTTTGTTTGAACAGTTTGCAGGAGGCAGGTACTTGCTTTCAAGCAGAACAGGGCAAACAAACTTAGCGGGAGTGTTTACGTGTTCGCCGTAATGACGTACAACGTACTCGACAACTTCTGTAGTCCTTTTCACCCACATGTTAACAACTATCGTTTTTCAGACACGTAAACTCTTCAGAAATCACCAGCGGGGTCACTGCTGATGTATTTAATGTCGTAGAACAAAACGTGACCCTTCTCTTAAATTTGTGTCAACCACAGACCTTATTTCCATCTATTTTCCAAAATCCTATGGAGAAATCCCATTGGCTCTGGGACGAGGGAATCGGTAGTAAAATGCTAACTCACTTCCTGTTTTAGGACTCGTTCCTGCACCACTCTATTAACAGCTGAAACAGAAGCCCGGGGTCTAAAGCAGTAACTGACAAATGGCTAGTTTAAGATCAATGCAGTAGATTGTCAACCAGCTGAACATGGAACACAACTACATCAACTGAATGTATGGGTGTCTAAACAATACATTTGATTATTTTCTTTAATTGTCATTCTCTTTATTATATTACTGTCAGGCACAAAGAAAAGTTAGTTTAATATAAATAGTTATCAATAACTATTTCAAAACAATTCTTAAGAGAATGGTACATCTTTGTTAACATTTATTATACCTCCAATTGTGATGTTGCGTAAGTGACAAACATAACATTTGAGATAGGCGCACCCTACAGGACAGGGATAGGACTTTCCTCTCCAAATTGTCTTTATAGCTACTACTAAATAATCTTCTAACAAGTACATAACATGAAGATCAGATCCATGCATCACAGTCAAGTCTTAATATGGCAGCCACATTGTCACTTCAATGGGTTTCTAATGTAGACCCTAAACTTTTTATGACAGGCTTCGTCTAAGAATACTTCATCAACACAATAGACCTGTGTAGAGTTCCTTTACTACCAGCCAGCATAACCTAACACTGTTGAAAAGGAGCATCTTCATTTTTTAGATCCAGGGCTCTGAGAAGTGTGTAAGGGAGTGAGGACAATATTTTGAGAGGATATTCACCAGACACAACAATCATTCATGTAAATACGGGTAATAGAAATATGTCAGTGATTTTTACCTTGCAAGGCTTCAGACAGGTTAATTTGTAAGCCCTTAGCCTTGTCTGCATGCAACAAAAAAAACATACATATTGGAGCCTTAGCTAGATTAAGAAATAAGACACAAGAGATCAATAATTCACAAATAAATAATTGAAAACTGAAAATTAATAATGCCGATTAGTGAGAGACAGTATCCTGTGATAAGAAATGACCGACATGCATCCACCGTAGGAATCAGGAAATATAGATGAGGTTTTAATTGATGGTCCACATGCTACAGACCTGAGGGATAACAATGTTTGGTGTGGGAAAATAGAATGTTTCTGCAATGGTGCTATAATAATGTTACCATGTAATGGTTATCAAATTAAAAAAACTTTACAATCAAAAGATGAAAATGGCAATGTTATATAAGCTATGACATGTACAGTGGGGCAAAAAAGTATTTAGTCAGCCACCAATTGTGCAAGTTCTCCCACTTAAAAAGATGAGGCCTGTAACTTTCATCCTAGGTATACCTCAACTATGAGAGACAAAATGAGAAGAAGAAAAAATCCCGAAAATCACAATTCATGATTTTTAAAGAATTTATTTGCAAATTATGGTGGAAAATAAGTATTTGGTCAATAACAAAAGTTCATCTCAATACTTTGTTATATACCCTTTGTTGGCAATGACAGAGGTCAAACGTTTTCTGTAAGTCTTCACAAGGTTTTCACACTGTTGCTGGTATTTTGGCCCATTCCTCTAGAGCAGTGATGTTTTGGGAATGTCGCTGGGCAATACGGACTTTCAACTCCCTCCAAAGATTTTCTATGGGGTTGAGATCTGGAGACTGGCTAGGCCACTCCAGGACCTTGAAATGCTTCTTACGAAGCCACTCCTTCGTTGCCCGGGCGGTGTGTTTGGGATCATTGTCATGCTGAAAGACCCAGCCACGTTTCATCTTCGATGCCCTTGCTGATGGAAGGAGGTTGTCACTCAAAATCTCACGATACATGGCCTCATTCATTCATTCTTTCCTTTACACGGATCAGTCGTCCTGGTCCCTTTGCAGAAAAACAGCCCCAAAGCATGATGTTTCCACCCCCATGTTTCACAGTAGGTATGGTGTTCTTTCGATGCAACTCAGCATTCTTTCTCCTCCAAACACGTCTAGCTGAGTTTTTACCAAAAAGTTCTATTTTGGTTTCATCTGACCATATGACATTCTCCCAATCCTCTTCTGGATCATCTAAATGCTCTCTAGCAAACTTCAGACAGGCCTGGACATGTACTGGCTTAAGCAGGGGGACACGTCTGGCACTGCAGGATTTGAGTCCCTGGCGGCGTAGTGTGTTACTGATGGTAGCCTTTGTTACTTTGGTCCCAGCTCTCTGCAGGTCATTGGCTAGGTCCCCCCGTGTGGTTCTGGGATTTTTGCTCACCGTTCTTGTGATCATTTTGACCCCACGGGTTGAGATCTTGCGTGGAGCCCCAGATCGAGGGAGATTATCAG